ACTACTACTACTACTACTACTACTACTACTACTACTACTACTACTACTACTACTACTACTACTACTACTACTACTACTACTACTACTACTACTCTCTGATCAACATTATCACTCTATTTATTCTTTGTTGTGTGATCTGTTGTTCCAACTATTTGTCCTCCTAGTGATACTGTGTATATATATGTGAACTGATGTTCTTGCTATGTTATCCTCACTAACTGCATCAACTTTAATGGATGACATGAGAACAGGACAGGAGAATCATGGTGATTGTTGAATTATTGAGAAGAATTACCTTCACAATTTGTGTTTTTTCACAGGAATTGTATTATGAACTAGATCCTACTAGCTACATGGTTGCAAAAATTGGCTACACCACACTGGACTACTACCACTATCTTAAGTGCATGGTAGCCAGTAACCTTGAAGAATTCTCACAGACCTGGACTTACTGAAGGAACAAAAAGAAACTTGTTTTTATTGTAGAATCCATGTAAACTCCAGTATCCCATTTTTTGCAAACATATTAGTACCTTTAAGAAAGACATATTATTCGTTTTTGCACTGTAGAAACTATTCGCACTAGCGACCCAATACTACGTGTTTCATAACAATTGAAACCGGGCTCGCCAGAGAGCAAAAAGTTTTAATTTCAAGTTCTAAACTTTGATTTGAAGTTATGAACTTCAAAATGTCCTGGTAGAAAGTCTACCTGCTGGTTCTACTATGCTAGTTTTTGGATGGCATTCGTGATTGAAAGGCTGGTGGATTCATGATTGAATCACCTCAATTGCCCTGAACCATGGCCATTCAGTCATTTTAACAAACTAGCTCAGTAGAACCTTGTACATGATGTACGGGCAAAAGTTCATAACTTCAAATTAAAACTTTTTGCTCTCTGGTGAGCCTGGTTTCAATTGTTATGAAACGCGTAGTACGGTACGTACCGTGCTACTTATATTTTCTTTCTGAACTGGTCCGAAACCGGTTTGTACTCATTGTACATACAAAGGGTACGTATAGGTTCGTTGTTAGGAGTACTTCGACTGTGCATGAATACGGTAGAATGACGAACGGTAGTCGCTCAGTTTGGTCTTGTCGTGGCGAAAGTCCGAAGCTATCCTTGCGACGGAGGTTTTTGGAGTGACAACCGACAAGAAACATCATTCGGACAACCACAACCGTATGCTACGGATCTATACAGCATCGCAACAACGGAATCGCATCGCATCACATCATAGGATCGGATCGGATCGCACTGCATCCGAGACCGCATCCTGAATGGACTGGAGGCGAGCCGCAGAACAAGCCAAAGCGAAGCGGTAAGAAGAACCCGCCATGTCTGGATTCGGTAGCGGCGGCGGTGGATTCGGGAATCCCCCCAACCGTGGGGGCAATCCATTTGGCGGAGGCTTTGGAGGCTCTTCCGGAGCACCCGGGGGATTCGGGGCTCCGGCTCCGGCTCCCTTTGGCAGCGGTGGGTTTGGTGGAAGCGGACCGCAACAAAACCAAAACAAAGGCCCTCCGCCACCGTTCGGATCGGCACCGGCGTCGTCCTCTCCGTTCGGCGGGACAAACCAGGGAGGAGGGGGAGGTGGACTGACCTTTGGATCCTCGCCCAATGTCTTGGTGGCGCCTTCAAACGGCGGCGGGACCAACAGCAGCAGTGGCTTTGGGAGTAGCAATGTCGGTAGATTCGGGGGGAGCCGATCGGGGTTTGGATCGCAGCCGCAATCTCAGCAACAGCAACACCAGCAGCAACACCAGCAGCACGCAAATCCCTTTGGCGGATCCCGGCCGCAATCGTCCGCGCCCTTTGGTGGTGGTTCCCAGCAACCCTCCCGGCCACCGCCCGCTCCTTTTGGTGCTGCGCAAGCCAGCGGGTCTCCCGTGACCTTTGGTTCTTCTTCCAGCGTCCTCATTGGCGACGCGGGGGGATCGAAGGGCGGATCCTCGTGGGGAGGGAGCGGTGCCGGTGCCCCCTTTTCGGGCTTCTCCAACAAATCCAACGGCAAGGGAGCCGGGGGCACCGGCACCTTTGGAAGCGGCCCTGGCCGAACACCACCGTCTTCCTCGAACCCGTTCGGGGGGGGATCTTCCGCCTCGTCGTCGGCCCCCTCGTTCGGCAAGCGGAGTGGGGGCTTTGGGGCCGCTTTATCGACGGGGGCATCTTCGGAAGAAAACACGGGCGGGAGTGGTGGCACGAACGAGACCGGTGGCGACGCGCCTGCCGTCAGGCGCGTCAGCATCAACACCGCTCAGGCCGAAATGGAAGAAAAGAAGCGAAAGCTCCAGGCCAAGATCGAGGAAAAGAAGCGGCACTTGGCGGAACGACAAAAGCAGAAGAAAGAAGCCGAGCGAAAAGCAAAGCAGGCGGCACCCTCGATTGCTCCCTCGAAGCCAGCCCAGGGAACCAACCGACAGGACCAGCAGCAGCAGCAACAACAACAACAACATAAGCAAAAGCAACCCCAGGGGTCTCAGCAAAGTCTGGCCGAGCGCAATGCCCAGCGATTCGCTAAGTTCAACAACCAATCGTCTGCCCGCAGCCAGAGCCCCGCGCTGGCGGCCAAAACGAGGGCTTCCAGCGGTCGCGAAGACCTTGAACACGCCGTTAACCTCGTCGGGCTCTGCCAGACCATGTGTCCCGCCGACGAGCTGCGACGGCGGGAAAACGAGAGCGACATCCAGGCGCTCGAGGTCCCGCTTCCAGGTAAGCTGCACCCACCGAACTGGACGCTCGAGGACACGGCGATCAAGCGCTTTCGTCGATCGGCCGCGGACTACAAGCTGGACGTGCCAGAGTGGGTTCGGCCCCCTGAGGTCCTGGAACGAACCATGGGGTATCTCGAGGAATGGATCATGGAACGGGACCGGCAGGGTCCCGATCCCCGTTTCCCGGTCAAGGATGCTCCCCCACCGCCCCTCGACGTGTACCAGTTCATCTGGGACAGGACCCGGATGATCCGAAAGGACTTCATCCTCCAGAACTATGTCGGAACCGGTGGCCGGTGCGACGCGAAGGCGGTTCGCTGCCACGAGCGCATCGCACGGTGGCACGCCATGTGCGAACACCAGCTGAGCCACATCGACGATTTCGTCACGATGCAGAGCCAGCAAAACATGCAGGAGCTGGGCCAGACGTTGAAGACGCTCAATGCCTTTTACGATGACTCGCTGAACCGTTCCACAAAGGAGGTCCCACACAATGATACCGGTCGAGAGACCTTCGTCCCGAACACCAACCACACGGTAGGCGCAGGCAGAGACGACAACAGATCTTCGACCGGGGGCTGTTTTTGTGACACGGTACAGGGGCAGAATCCGGTGGACTACAACGGCGTTCCCCTGAACAACGCGGGTGACAACCCGATGATTGCCCGGCGGATCATCGGGGAAAACAACAACCAGACAACGACGCGTGGCACGGCGGAGCCAGAAATGAGAGGAATGTACATGCTGCTGATCCTTGAGAACGAAGGAGGGATGGAGGTTCTGAAATACGCCGCTAGACTCTTCAAGGAGCGACCCGCTGTTTATCATTCCCCGCCCGTGCAGCTGGCACTGACTATCTTCAAGGCCTGGAAGGACATGAACTACGCCAGGTTCTTTTCCATTCTCAGGTCGTCCTCTACGCCATATCTTTTCAGCTGCATCATGTTCAAACAGGTAGAAGTGATGAGGCGGATCGCGCTGTGCATCATGTCGAGATCGTACGGACAAGTCAAGAGCACTGGGGAGACCCTGCAGGACCAGTACCCCCTGAAACGCCTCGCCCACGTGCTTTGCTTCGAGGATATGGAAGAAGCGAAACAAACGTGTGAGTTTTACAACATCACGGTGGGAAAATACACGAGCCAGAGGACCGGTCAGACGGAATACTGCGTGTGCTGGAAGGGTTCGAAATTCGAGGTTCCCAAGGACCCCGAGAAGGGGCACACCCTACGGCTCAAGCCCCGCAAGATGGCGCGCACCATCGAGCGAAAGCTCAGCGGGAGTACCCGCTTGGGGGTGTGCCGGGGAGATGTGAGCGGGAAGGGTGCCACCCTGGCAGAAACGCCGGCGCAGAGCCAGCTCGATCCGATCGCCCCGACGTATGTGGCACCGTCTGCCATCCCGCAGGCACCCGCCGTAGATCCCGGGGAGGAAGCGAAACAGCAAGAGCTGGTGATGAAACAAAAGCTAGAGCGGGACAAGCTTCTGAAGGAAGCGAGGAAAAAGGAGGAAAGAGACCGCCGTGCGAAGGAAGAGCTCCGGATGAAAGAGGAAAAACGACAACTGGAAGAGCAACGAAAGAAAGAGCTCGAGGAACGGAAACGAACCGCACTGGAAGAGCGCCGGCGAGAAGAGCAGCTCCGAAAAGAAGAAGCAGAGCGAAAGCGGCGGGAACAAGAGAACGAGTTGCAGCGACAGAAAGAGGAAGCACTGGCGCGGATGATTGCGGCCGAGGAAACACGTGCCAGGGCCGAAGAGGAAGCCAGAAAACGCAAGGAATTGGAAGAGAAAGAACGAAAGGAGGACGAAGAGCGGCGGAGGCTCGAACTAGAACTCAGGCTTGCCGAGGAGAAACGCAGAAAGCAGCTGGAAGAACAAGAGATGATTCGCAGGCAGGAAGAAGAACGCAGGCGCGAGGCATTGCGACTCCAACGCGAAGAGAAGCGAAAACGTGAGGCCGAGGAACAACGGAAGGCAAATGAGTGGCAGGCACGGATCAACGACGCCACCGAGATTCTGGCGTGGCACCGCTGGAAACGCGCCCTGGCAAGAACACTCGAAAGCTTGATCGGATCCAGGAGAAGCCTGAGGGCGATCGATCCTTTGTTCAAAACAGACAACTTTCACTTGGAAGATCTCGCGAGGCTGGCGGTTCCAAATAGAGGTTCGAAGTTTGAAGAACCGATCAGTGCGCAACCAACGAGCAAGGGCATCATCGAGGATTCTATTCGAGAAAAACGAGCGGAACAAGATTCAAAACTGGCAATTGCGGATATGGTGCTCCTAGAATTAGAGTCCGTCACTGGGGATGCCAAGCCGCTGTTTCGATCCCGAGAATCCACTCTCTTGTTGAAAGTCGCAGTGATCTATCCAGAAACCACGGACGTAGCGGATCAGAGTTATGCAGGTTTGCTGCACCACTGGATTTCGTCTCGCGTGGACTTTGGAAAGATTCTAACATCCAATAGGAAGAAAAGTGGCACTTCCAACTTTACTTCGAGCGACGAAGTCCGTATTGTGATAGTGAAAGGTTCGAGCTACGACATTTGTGCCACTGCCGACATTGCCTTGTTTGTAATCCCTCCGCACTGGTCTGGTCCGGAACAAAAGGGAGAGATCCTGGGCGAGCTTGCTTCCTCCCTCATAGATGACGACATACCACGCGTGGCCTTGGTCTTGAGAGATAGTGTCGGAGCGGACGAAATCCGGGAAATCAACAACCTGATTGCCACGCAGCTGGCGGGCAACATGGACGCAATCCCGATCATCCATCCGTCGGAACTCTCTGTCAAAGCCTTCGAGAGTGCTCTGGAATGTTCCTTTTCTCGCATCGCAAAACTGTTCGTTCACGAGGCTTGCGTGCGTGTTTCCCGCATCCCGGCAATGCAACTGGCCACAAAAACAATCCTCGCTGTTCTGTGGCAGTCCATTCCTTCCGTCGCAGGTGAAGACATCGACGAGGACGCCATCGTGGAGTGTTCGAGACTCACCGTCCACACCCTCATCGAAGAGCTCGCGAAGCAGTTCGAACGCAACGAAACCGAGTGGTCCCTCTGGCCGGCACCCGAATTTTCCTCTAGGGACGGCGTGGTCCAATCGTACTTTTCTGGAGCCGTGGGACTCCCACTCGAGTGGGGGAGGTGTCTCGATCGGAGGGTTCTCCACCAGACCTACGAATCTCTGCTGTCGGCGTTTCGGGGGCACTTCCGGGACGCGTACCAACGGATCGTGGTCGATGCCCCGATCACGGTTCAGGACCAATGCGCTTCGGAGTGCGCCCAGGGCCAGTACCGCAGGTGCCTCGAAAGAGCGCTGCAGTGGATGCAAACATCGTCTTCTTTTAGCGGTTGCTTTCTGTATCTCCCGGAGGGATTGCTCGAATTCGTGAAGAAGAAGGTTGGCGAAAAAGTCGGTGCGAGTCCGTTGCTGTCAAAGTCCAAAGGATCCAACAGCACCAAGGCGGAGATCCCTCACCTGGCCGCAGAAGACAGGCTCTTTTGCGACGATGTCCCCACAAAGAACACCTCGAAAAGATCCAGAGCGGCCCCGGATTTCTTCGGCAAGAGATCTGCACCGACCAATGGGAACCATCCGTCCCTCAAGAAACAAAAGCAGGAGGATCCGCCTGTTGCTGCCGGGGAGGGTCCCCCTTGTGTCACTCCGGTGGGCACCGTTGGAAGCCAAGCGCGGAATCCAGTCCAAACCCCGAGCACCAAACGAAGGACGAGCGCGCTGCGGAAGGGGGATGCGTACGCCACGAAACTGGAACGGCTCTTGCACGGGGACGACACAATCGATTTTGTGGTGGGACAAACATCTTCCCTGTCGGAATTCCTCCGGGGCGCTCCGAAACCCAAGGTCTGAGGGAGCGAATCCGTCGGCCAGCAACGGAGTGTCGATCGGGATCAAAGACACTATGATTCTAATACTACAAAACGGAAAAAAGGGAACAATGATCGGTGGACACCAATATCACATCAATATCACATCACACCACACCACACCACATCAAATCATTCGCGGTAGACTCGAAATTTTGCGTTTGCTCCGGCACTTTTGTAAAAATACAAGCCAGCTACTGAACTGTATTATTCTGTTACAGCAGTACCCGTACGGTACTGTAATGAGCGGCACGGTATGGTACGGCAGGCGGCGCGTGATTCCGTCGGAAGCCAGCTTGATCGCTCGCGTCTGCGTCCGTGTCACTCGGTCGTCCGCTCCCTCAGCACCTGGTACGACGCCAAGAGCGCGTCGCAGCGCTCCATCTCCGACACGATGGCCCGCGAGAGCGCCTTTTTCCGCTGCTTGACCCGCCTCCCCAGGACGCTGTCCACGGAAGCACCGGCACACTCCGGCGGCGCCACCACCACGGCGTCGACCGCCGCCGCGATCTTGTCGAGCTTGTCGCTGATCCCCGCCAGCGTGCGCTCGACGCCGAGGGCGTACCGGTCCCGGCCGGTGCCCCATCCCCCGTTGGAGGGGTGGTCCATCCAGACCGTGTTCCAGAGCCCGGCGGTGAAGGAGGGATCGTGCGAGGCCGACGAGGCGGTGGCCGCGTCGAGGGACTCCTCCAGGCCCGACAGCTTGTCGCCGATCGCGTGGGTGGCCCTCAGCTGGAGCTCGGCGTCTTCCAGCCGGTCCACCGCGGCCCTCAGCACCGGGTCGTACGGATCGCCCTCCCAGAGGTACCGGAGGGCCCCGTCCCACCCGTGCTCCCTGACGGAGCGGTGAAGGGCGTACCCGGCGTACCCCGCGGAGAGCGCCGCAACGGCCAGGAGCGCGCCCGAGCCCTGGCCCCCCGATCGATCGCAGGGTTGCGGGCAGCGCTTGGAACGAAGCCATTCCGGCCCGCCGCTGCGGCTGCCAGGGGTCATGTCTGTCGTGCGTGCTGACGGTTGGCGATCGGGTCGTCCGTCGGCTCGTGTTGCACCGATCCTGCGCTCTGTGCTGTCCTGTGCTGTGCTGTGCTGTTCTGTGGAGCGGGCGGTCCTGCACGTGTTCCGATCCGAGCTTGTCCTTGTCCTTGCCCTTGTGCTTGTGCTTGTGCTCTTGCGTGTTGGCACGGTCTCCGTTCAGGAGGAAAACGTCAAAAGAATGCAATCCGGGGTGCAGGCAGCATTGTACGTCGTACCGTACCGTACCGTACTCGCACTCGCATTTCGCTCTCGCACTTCTGCGAACTCTGTGCGGGAAGCATCATTTTTTAATTGTTCGAAAGTTGCCTCCAAATTTTTCTTCGCAAAAGCTCGCAGTTTCCTACCGTACCGTACGTACTATCCAGCGACGAAACTGCAACTTTGCATTCAAGTACAAATTTAGTCCCTTGCGTGTTCAATGCATGCAATCAGTGCAAATTTCATTGTGGTGTAAAATAGCAACGAAACATCAGAATAAGAACTAGTCTTTGGTAGAATTTATCTTAACATCCTATTGGATTGAATATATTGGGTTCAGTGGGTAGTGGGGTCATACAACTTTTATGCTAGTAGTACTAGAACTAGTACTACCAGCAGCAGCAGCAGTAAGTAGTAGTACTACTACCTCCGTCMAGATATTATTGTACTACACTGCACTTTGCACCTCTTCAGTTGAAATAAGCTCGATATTTGGGCAATTGGATTGCTTCTTTTTTTGTTTAACAGATCTATTGTAAATTCATGCAAGTATATAGATCGTATTAATTGAAAGTGTCTGACATACTTGTGGTAGTTACTTAAAAAGGGCCATTTTTTCTTATCAATATGAAAATACCGTCAGTTTGGTTCTACTGGTCACTTAAAGATGGGACTGGTTTCTATAGAAAGCCAAGAGTGACACATTTTTGAGGCTGTAATTCTCTTTGGTGTCAAGAACTTTCTTGTATTTGTCATTCGTCTTGTTCAAAAGAGGTGCACCGTATCATTTTTGTCATTTAATTGTTTCACATTATGTTACTAATAGACTGTTTAATTTCATGTGCAAAAACAATTTTATTCACATGTGCACGAGACTACATGTACTCTTGGTATTAGGTGTTAAGTGTGTATAAAAATTGAAATTATAAGATTAAGATTCTYGCGCTYGGACTTGAGCTTTCAGTAGATCTGATTAGATCCTATGTAGCTCTCGGTACTAAATCTACAC